TGATGACGACGAATGGATTGAATGATTTGAATGAATTGAATGAATGGTTGATGAGTGAGAGCTGTGTAATGAGAATGTGAAGAGCGAACAGTGGTGGTGGCTATGACGGGGAGATTAAGTGGGGGGGGGGGGGGGGTGGAGAGGGGTGCTGTGCTCGGGGAATAATAAGTGAGGTTTTTTTTTAGTGAGAAGCGAAGGCTTTGGTGAGCGGAGCTGACTGCTGCTCTTAACGATGTCACAGTGATTGGCCACCACTTCGTCATCCGTGGCCAGGTCGCTTGTGAGAAAGAAGTTTACACCACAGTAGGCGATGCCTGGTAGGATGGGGATGGTTTCCGATGCGCTCAAAGCTCTTTCGTCACAGATGTCCAGTCGGGTCACGGGCTACAACAACAACAATCAAACAGTACACAAAACACACGATAGCAGTGCAAAGTTCAAGAAAGGTAAATAAATGACCCAAAACAAAACAACAATTAACGGGTGAGGCAGCCCAGGCACAGGATCCCCAGACACATCCGGTGGCTGGGGACCGTTTCACATTGCCATGCTCATCTCTCACATTCACATTGACGTACACATTCCTTCTCTAGCTCGGCACACTTACCCTTGGGCCGAGTCCACTAAAATTTTTTATAAGTTCTTGTTGTTAGCAGATCTTTCTCCTATGTCAGCAGTTCTCCTGCTGTGCCTGTTCCACCTGATGACGGTCGCTTGTGTCACGATCGAAACGTCGTGAATTAATTTATTATATTTTCTACCCACGTGACTTTACCGAAATAACAAGAGTATGGACCCCTGCAGTCACGAAAACTTCAAATCTAGATTAAAACAACACTAAACCATCCCCATCGTACCAGGTAAAGCCCGCTGAGGTATTCACTTATTTTTTACACAAGCGACCTGGCCAAAAATTATAGCTTAAGAAAGTGTGCCATCACTTGGACATCATTTACAGCAACAAAATAAATCTAAATAATCTCAACGCCACTGCCCTAGATATAGCTTGTAGTGGGGTCACAGCGCACTGAACTACCACATAAGCACGCGACATCAGAAATGGCACCTGATTTTTCCAGGTGGAGAGAGCGCTTCGTGGTGGTTGTGGAGGAATTTGTGTACCGCGGTGGCTAGGAGATGTTAACTACCTCGCCTGGTATGCAGGAGGTCGTGGGTTCCATCCCGACCCCAAGGCCTGTTGTATATTTGGAGTTTGCGGTGTCTCTCTCTCTCATCATCATTATCACGTTGGCGAGATGTTAACTACCTCGCCTGGTATACAGGAGGTCGTGGGTTCCATCCCGACCCCAACGCCTGTTGTATATTTGGAGTTTGCGGTGTCTCTCTCTCTCTCTCATCATCATCATCATCACGTTGCCTAGGAGATATTAACTACCTCGCCTGGCATGCAGGAGGTCGTGGGTTCGATCCCGACCCCAACGTTTGTTGTATATTTGGAGTTTGCGTGTCTCTCTCCCTCCCCGTGATCGCGTGGATTTTCTCCGGGGCCTCCGGATTTTCCCAATGCACATTTAGAATCAACATCACCACGCGTTTAGAATATTTGGCTGCTATACATTTCCACACGATGATGATGATAAGCCAATTCGTTGAGCTATCATTTGCGACAGCCAGGCCGCTTCTGACAAAGAGCTGTGTAGCTCAGTAGGCCTTACCCGGTCAAATAAAAAAAAATAGTTTAGTTTGGAAGTGTTTAAGAGGCATGGGTCCAGAAAGGTTTCCTTTTCGGCAGCTTTGAGACGCCGGGGAATCTTGAGCATGGATTTTTCTCCGGGTCCTCCGGTTTTTATTAACTCACTCTGTATGTTGCTGTCGTTGTTGTTGTTATATCCTCAAATCTTGTAACTCAATTTTAACCCACTTCCCAATGTGGTATCGACTGCAAACTTGGCATACTTATGTCATACCGATGACAATACTATATTCTATTATAAAAAAATAAAAATATATATTTTTAAACGTTCTTTTTTATATGTTGTAATTGGCCACGGTCCCCCTTACGTTGTGGCAAGCTTCGGGGCCACTTCCTGGAGTCGTGGAGTTCTTACATTACTCGTACGGTACATTTCATTAAAGCGTGTTTTTAAAAAAAGTTATTTATTTTTAATATTACTTATTCCCTTCACATTTCTCAATGTGCGTTTATTTGGCCGCTGTAGATTTCCACACGAGGATGAGCCACTTCGCCGAGATATCATTTGTGGCGAGGTCGCTTCTGAAAAAAGTGAGCCTTACCTGGTAACATACAAAATAAAAATGTTAGGTTTTTTTTTTCTATAGTCTCCAGCGACGGAAATATTCCTCCGATAAAGTGAGATGAGCTGTCGTAGAACACTGGCCACGTCCTCCAATTGCACGCCCTGTGCAGCCAAGGGAGGCTAATGCCATCTGCACAATGTGAACTTTGGAGACGGCGTCGATGGCAGGTCACTAACACGTTGTTGTGTTTAATGGCGGCGGCACTAAAGTGCCCCGGACCCTTGCGGGAAGCGTTCGTAGTTCTCTTGCGGCTGTGCTCAGCGGCGAGGCGTTCACGCTCAAGAGTACAGTTGCTGAGAATCGCGCCGATTGGATAATGGCGGTGGCGGATAATGGGGGTGGAGGAGAATGGGGGTGGCGGATAATGGGAGTGGCGGATAATGAGGTGGCAGATAGTGGGTGGTGGATAGTGGGGATGGTGGATAGTGGGGATGTGGATAGTGGGGGTGGTGGATAATGAGTGCACAAGGGCCTCGTGTAAACGTAACATTTACTTTATTATTAAATTATCCTTCTCGTGAAACCGGACACAATTATCGCTCACTCCGTCGCACGCGCGCGTGACCTCCGCTTCGTAACGACGAGATGCCGTCCGATCGCCGCCCTCCTCATCCTCCTCCTGCGTTAAAGCCGCCCCCCCCCCTGTTCTCACACACACACACACACGGGACGGCCGACACCCAGTGATTGACACCCAGCAATTGGATTGGCACCCAGTGATTGGCACCCATCGCTGGGAACACGCGGTGATGAAACAATCAGTAACAACGCCTGCACGCGGGACACGGGCTCGCTGCGAGCGGTACAATCATCTCCGACTTGAATCCCCCTCTCTCTCTTTATAGTTGGCATTTAAAGTGGATGCTCCCCAATTACCGACCCGCGCTTACCAGCGTGGCCAAAGTACGGGTCAAACAACCCCCATCCAGGACGGCTGGACATGGCCTGGCAAAGGAAATGCCTTCATCCAGCAGTGGATTGACAAAGGGGGGGGGGGGGGTGAGTGTTGGCCTCGCCCCAATCGAACAATGCCTCCTTGT